AAAGGAGTGACAATACAACAGGACCCTTTTGTATCTAGAACAACTGAACACATTTCTCCTTTTATGCACTGGCAATAAAATAAAAATGAACTCTACATAATATAGCCTACTAAAGAAACGGAAGTCGGTTTAAATTAAATTAAAACAATTACTTCCATACTGTTCTACTAATTCAGTCACAGTTTTAAAATATTTCAATGAAAAAACTACTTAAGACAAATTGCAAAAAGAAAGTTTCAGAACCTCAAAGGTATCTGCAGCAGTATTTGCTGACCAAGCTCACAGTTAGAAGTTAGACCACAGTGAATAAAGAAGACAAGAGAGTTTTTCAAAAGAAACTAGATTTAACTACATAAATGATCTGTTGCCAAACAAGATAAATAAATATTGAACAATTTTATTTTAAAGAAAGGATGATAGAGAAAATTTAGACCTAGGATGTTTCTCTAACAGAAGTTACATGCAGTGCTGATTTATAGAAATTTTCCTACTACCCAGAAAGGTCATAGTGATCACTTCAGTCAGCTAAAAGAATCATACTATATTTTTTTTTAAATTTCATAAGTTTGGGGGTTTTTGCTAACACTGCTTGGGATAATAATACCAAAATTGATTTTAGATAGAAGGTAAATCCCCAAGTAATGAATTATAAAGCCAATTGTCCATTTAGCTGTTGTGGGTTTTGTTTTTATGTACCTATGACTAAAACTTGGTATAGCTTAAGAAGACACCCTCCGGCATATAAAGAGTGAAGTAATGCAAGGTAAGGCAAATCATTTTAAGAATTAGACCTTTAAAGTAGGTCAGATGAATCACAGTTGTTGATCACTTCCACTGATTACTGACCTTCTCCAAAGATTATTTTAAGGGCAGCTGAAGGTAATTAGCTTAAACATTAATGTCTGAAAGATCATAGACCTCCACAGCACCAAAACAATCAGAATGGGGTCAGGTAATAGTGTGAAGACATAAATGCCTCTGCAGAAGGAAAAAAAAAAAAAAAAATCCAAGATAGCTTCCTTCAAGCTTTATGATTTGAAACTCTGCCTTCTGTTGGGGCCCAAGCAAATAGAAGTCCTAAATTACTAAAGAATCCAGTAACTCCAAAAATTTCTCTCTGTCCTCTTGCATAAGTAATTAAATAATCAAAGAAACATGAGAACAGCTATAGATGGTAATACCAAGGGGTCTCCTACTCAGGAGTCCTGTCTCCAACAGGGAAAGTAGTGGCAATAATGTGGGAACAAATATACAAATAAAGCAAACATACAATTTATTTCTCCTGTCATATCTTCCCGGCTTCCAGCAGTCTGCAGCCAAAATAGAAACAGTATCACTTCTCTGAAACAGGCATTATCTCTTTTGTTTACTCTTGGGTTTGCACTTTGTTACTTGTAGATAAGACCAGCAGAGTCCGTTGCAGCCCTCTAAAAGGAGGGGAGGACCTTCCCCTGCCTTGGAAACTACTCAGCATGGCCTTGAGAAAGAAGTGTCCAGAGGTGGAAAGGAGTGAGAAGAGGGGGTCTGCAAGGAGTGGGGTACCTGCATCACTTGCAGAGGCCATTGAAAGGGGCAGACCACAGCAGGACCACACAGGTGAAGGGTCCCTCTTCATGGGTACTGTAAGGAACTACACTGAGTTATCAGCAACTCATTGAACTGACTGAAACCAAACAAAAGAGGAAGTACCTTCCCCACAGAAGCAGAAAGAAGCAGTTTATAAGTTCATTTTGTGTATTCTTTCTGACCCAGTAACTTCAAGCATTCTTTATTAAAAAAAAAAAAACTTTTCTTAAATTTCAACAAAAGCTTGCTTTATTTTAGTCTTAAAATATTTTTTCTCTTTTTGAGGGATATCATTATAGTTCAAAGCTCTAGACATGCCTGCCTAGAAATTAAAGTCAAATAGGCACCAGGTACAACACTCAAAGTGGCTCTATTTTCATCTTTTGTTGTCTTTTCTCAGATGCTTTATCAATAAAGTAAAATCCCATGTGGCCAAGTGAAAGCACTGTAGAAGGCTTAAAGTTTGCCATATCTGTTTATTTAAAGTCTCATTAATAATCTTTCATTAACATAGATATTTCATAGAATTAGACTACATAAATTGATGAGCAGGTACAAGAAAACTGAATAGGAGAGTGTTCTGCATTTTAAAAGGCAGCTAAGTGTGCAGTTTTTATTATTTAAATTAAAATGTCAGTTTGCTCAAATTATAATAATGATTCCAAGTTCATAATGGAAAAATTGTATCAAGGCTGGGAACTGATAAAGAATGCTATAATCTTTCTAATTCACTCTACCAAATGCAATTAAAAGTTATTAGATTTCTAACTCTTCAGTCTCTGTATAAAACATTATTCTGGTAGAAAATTAAACACTGAACTACAATCTACTTTCTTTTTTATGAGAAAAACATACTGAACAAATTTACCCAAACCATCAGAGTACAAGATGTACTGCATTTTAGGAAATTCATTTCCATGCACTGGAAAACTAAAATCCATAGAGACCCACAGCAGCATGACTTCAGTAGTGATAAGTGACAGCTATCATCAAGATAGTGGAATTCAGGAGTGGCCAATGAGATCTCAGTATAAGTCTACAGGTTCCATTAATTTTTAATAGAAATTATGTGTGTGCTTTAATAACATTTATTCATTAATCTGATAGGTTTGCCATGAATACAGAACAGGCAGGAATTATACAGTACACATACAGCCCTTATTTGCTTCCAAGGTTGCAGATGAGGATGAGCTAATGAATAATAGAAACCTTCACTGTCAACTATGCTATTTTTTTTCATTTATTTTACTGACATAAAGTGGGACAAAAAACAATCATCAGTTATTAAGTTTTTGCTAGTACTGGCTCCAACTACTTTACAGTTTTGAAAGAACTTCTTATCAGGAGCATATGTAACCAGTGCTATGTGGTCTTCACTGCCTGCCTGTGGCTTTTCAAAAACACTTTCAGATGTTGGGTTTAATTCAATAAATCCTACATGTTCAGCGCTCACTTATCTGATACAGAAAAGTAAAGAGGAAAATTGATTTCTTAAATTGCTGATGTGAACTCCTTCCTTATGTGTCTCCAATTTCTGTCTTTTTCTACACCTTAGTAATATCGCACTTTTGTGGTTATAACACATCAGTATTACCTTTTAACTTCTTAATGACCAATAACCTTTATTGGCTAAAATTGCCCATTTCCATGGCAAATACTCCAGAATGAGAAAGCTGTCACAGCAGCTGTGGTACTGTTTGAAATGGTGAAGAAAGCCTCGCTGCCATGTCCCCTTTCCTAATCTCACAGTGCTCCAGGGCACTAGGACTTCCACTGTATGCCAACAAGTCTTGCTGGGTGTATGGACACTGCTAGATAACTGCTTAGCCCAAGTCCACAGCAAGGTCCTGGTCCCTCAGAGTCCCCCTTGCATAAGTGTCGTTTTGCTTCCAAACTCTTGCAGTTACCCACTGTGATTTATCTGAGATAAAAATAAACAAAGATGCAGTTCTGGAAACAATTCATTTCAGGGATCACACCCAAACAGTAGCATGGGTGAGTCCACATCAGATTTGGGACTCTCAGCTCTGTACAGTTACTCAAACATTATCCCAGGTGGCTTTATGTCTTCAAACTTTCTCACATGTAGCAGATAACGCAACATATGTCTTTAGCCTCATAATCTCAAAACACAGCTCTGCTAGGCTACAAAACTGCCCTCACTACAAACCTAAAAATTAATTAACCCACGCATACAATGTCAAGAGTAAACACAGGGCCAATTGCTGTGCTGTGAAGATAACAGCCAGTCTGCTCTGAAGGGACAAGGTCTGAGCAGTGTGGACACGAGCCATGCTGCACCTCTAAGGCCTGGCGTCTGGGATCCAGTCTCTGCAACAAAGGCATTTAGTAGCAGAGCTGTAAAACATGTTGCTCTGGACATAGTAGCCCATATCCTTCAGCTGGAGTTGGCAATACAAAACACTGGTGTTTCCCTAGGTCCCAGCAGAGGGAACAGCCTTCCACTACTGGTGCCTTTCCAAGCCAGTCAATTCACCAGAAGTGTCAGCAGCAGATATGGAAGATCTTGTTTACAACCTGATAACCGTTGTACAGCTATAACTAGATCTATATTGTGCACAACAAAATTGGATTTCAATGTGGTATCTGTGTATATGATGATTCAATCAATGGTTTATTGATTATGAATTATTCTTCAAGACTTGTATCTTTCAGCCACTGAGATGGATGTACACAGTGGGGGAATTCAAATTGCATGAAAAAAACAACATAAATCTGAAATTCTGTAACTTTCGAGTGCTCAGCAGCCAAAGGAATATTTTTTTTGTAGGGCAATGCACAGGTAGGTTTTGTGACTGTCTTTCAGTTAAATATGAGCTTTAATCTGGTTCTATTTTTAGGATATACAGAGCCTGTCTTCACATAGATATACAACTATCTATATATAAAGTTGCATAGATAGATATGTACATAGAAAGTATGCGTACAGCTACTTTTGCTTCACACATATACAGCATCTTCCTGATTTTATTTTGGGAAATTATTTATTCTAGTGATAAAGTAATAGAGACTGGAAGATATGCAAAGAGTTATATATACTTAAGAAATAATGTCAGACTACTTTTTTATTCTTCTAGAAAGTGATTATTTTCTGATCTCCATAATGCATCTTAGTCACTTATTCAAACTTACAGCACAATGATGCCAAGGTCAGATTTGCTCATTCCATAATGTTTAGCCAGCTCGTTAGTATTGGGAAGTCAGAAAAACGAAGTCATGAGCAATCTCTCTTATTCCTCCTAAGGTGACTGGGACGTGACTGCATTTTGAAAACCTATTCTGATAAACTGTTGTTCTGATTAACTTGGTGGAATTGTAAGGCTAGAAACATGTGGGAGAGGGCTTTCTGAAAAGATCCAGACTCAGAAAAATAAGATTGCTAGTTTTACTTAGAACAAAACTAAAAAACTTACCAAGATCTAGGTAGATGCCTGGAACAAATGAGTTGAGAAAAAACATAAGAATGACACATCCCAGCACAGCCAGGCATTTGATGAGAAGAATTTTGTCTGTTATTCTATGCTGTAGACAAGGAGAAAAAAAATAATAACTCTATTAAAGAAGGAGCTATCTATTATAGTTCACTAAAAGCATGTGTAAAGTGCAAACTTTTATTCCTGTACTGTATATTCCTCTTCAGCATAAAAGACAGTAATATTTAAATTGAAGTATTTCATGCATGCCTATAAAAAAACATGAATGGCTCATTTTAGTGGCCCATCTATGAGAGATACAAGTAGCTAACATCTGCTCCATATGCATACAGCTGAGTTCAGCTGCCTCCACCACAACTTCACTTCAGAAGCAGAAGTAGGGTTGAAATGCAATTCCTACGAGAGGGGGCACTCAGGAAACTCTGTTTTCATGATCCTGGACAAAATCACTCTTTTTCACATGTATGTATAACCTATAACCTCGCCTAGAGGTCAGATCTTTCATACCTCCTGTACAACTCTCATGGACATGCCAAGCCCATAATCCCTATGCAGCTTCTACACTCCTGTGCCCAGCTGCTGCACCACTGTGCTGAGCTCCTCATGCTCTCACTCTGAGACCCAGCACTTTCCATCATGACTCTGATCTCACTTTTGCCACCAACCCAGGAAATCACCTTCTCCCAGCATGAGTTCCTCTCTTGTTTCCAGTCTCTTCCACATACGTTAAAGCTCCACTAGAGTACAAGTAAATATCAGTTCTTCAAAAAGGTTTTCTTTTATGCAATGCCTTGAAAAAGGTGTAAAACCTAATAAGAAATCCTGTTGGTGTTGTTCTGTTTGTGTGACATGCAGGACAGTCAAGTCTCAGTCAAGGACCTGAGCAAACAAACACAGACCTGGATTCCTTAGCGATGCCAGTGAGGCAGAGAGGTTATGACATTTAAACAATTAAACTGAGGTAAAATTAATCAGAGTCTACTTCTCATCAGACCCACTTTCAGCATAAAGACTTAGGCAGTATTACTGTGTGCACAAAAAAGAAAACAGAATTTATCCAAGTGGTTTATCCCTACTTGAATAATGAGGCAGGTTTGTCACAGACAGTGTAGCAAACTTGAGTCAGTATTCTGTGCGTCAGCAGGAGTGTACTGTATCATCATGCATCACGGTTATTAACAACCTACTGATACCTTCTGAGTCTTTCTTGACCATTGATTAGAAGTTCAAGAAAACAGTGCTGAATCATTTATTAATCCTTTAAATTATATTTTTTCTAAGAAACAAAAGTATACGATTTCACAAAAACCTCACAATGTGGTTCAGTAACCCCATCCCACTGAGCAGCCAGTCAGCCTGACTTCCAGCTTTTCTGCTATCATAACAGTTATTAAATTTTCATTAGATATAAAGCACTCTCTCTGTATAAAGGCACAGGTTTGCTTAAACGGATACTGAGAAAAGCTGTCTTCTACTTACTTTTTTCTGGAGTTCCTGTATATTTGTTTCCCAGTTCTTATCTTCTTGTGAAATTTGTCTGGAAGAAAATGACATCTGCTTATTTTCCGGAGTGAAATTAGAGCTCTGCCAAGAGCATTGGAATAAATCCCTCTCATCACAAGTAGATTACCCTCTCCCCCCATACAGAGTAACTCATGCCACAAAGGAGCCGTGGCCTTCTTGTGGTCAGAGCACTCAATTAGGGCTCAACTTCTGTAGCATGCTCCACTAATACACAAAACCTTCAGTTCATGAAGTGTGCTACAGGCTTGGAAGGAGCTAGTCTCCAGAGTATGGACCTCAGTATAGAGTTTGGCTATATGCACTATGTAGTCTCCTTAATATTTTCAGGAGTTGACGTATGCTCTGCCGCGATAAAACAAGGGTCATGTGCTAGTGTCAAGAAGTCAGAATACATATATTTTACATTTGCATTTTATAATGAAGTTTTTAAGATCCAAATAACTTCATCATGTTATCAGCATAGTCAGTCCTCCAGTAAAAAGCCTTGGGGTTTGCAGTTCAGGAGAGCTGTTGTTAATGTTAATGAACTTCTACATTGCTGTAAATGTACTGTGCTAGAGGAATCCTGATTTTCAAGATTAAATATACAATTTTTATTTATACTTCAGATATGTCTTCTGTGGAGTGTCATAAAGTGTAATAATCCACTATGATCTTTCAAAAAGGATATGATTTTAACAGCCATTTTTGTCATATCATCACTCCATTCAAAGTTCACAATATCAGCAAATATTATATAAACTATCATCTTATTACTAGAAGTAAGTTTAAGAAATCATATAGTTATGTATCTTTGTCCATACTGCCTGTTTAATGTGTTTATTAATGAAAATTAATTATTTCTGTTTCACTTTAGTTTAGTCAATTCACTTTCAGAGTATTTATCACTGCTATTCTCAGTCATCAAATTTCATAGCACAACAGTTGTTTTTGCTGGAACATAAACGTAATAAGGTTAGCATTTGTCTTAGTCCTAGTTTATAAAAAAATATTCTTTTCTATACATAAAGTTGATTATGCCTATATTCAGGTTCATACTGAAAAATTTATTATGAAACAATTTTAAAATGCTACGATTTACTGGTTATATATTTTTCAAACTCAACAATTCACAGAAGAACACTTGCATTTTTCAGTAAAAAGCAAAATATAGCATTTTGCTACACTGAAGCTACTATTGCAAGGAAAAATTTAATGATTATTTGTGATCTTTTAAACAAAATACTACCTGAAATTTCTAGGCCTTGAAATTTGAGTCATATTGACATACATTTTCCAGGCCTTACACATCGGTTTTATCCTAAAATACTTTGTGTTCTACTGAGGCTGAAGGTGGCTTTTCATATCTGACCCCAACACCCATCTGATCAAGAGACAAGTAAGAATATAGGTCTCATCCTAGAGAATATCCCTGAAAGTCTTCACTTTCAGATCTGCCTAAAATGACTAGTGGTGAGCCCTTGGCTCATTGACTAAACAGAAATATTACCCCTGACGTTAACAAAGCCACACTATCATTCCTGGCTGTAGACTGAGGTGAGCAGAAGCTCCCTGCCAGTCCAAAAATCTGCCTATACTTACAGCTTGTGCCCACCAAGGGATGAAGAGGGAAGGTGGGACATACCAGTCCCTGCTCACCTGTGAAATGTCCTGAGCTTCTTCCTCAGGATCATCTCCAGGGTCAGCACCTTCTGCATCAAGAGGCATTTCACGGCAGTCTCCTCTCTGCTGGCAGGGTTAATGCGCTGTGCAGTCAGTCTCCAAACATAAATCTCATGTTTCAGCTCTAAAAAGAAGTGAAACCACTAATCTTAAAGCAGGTATAATGCATGCCAAACCAGATGCACAAAATACGTGTAACGTGTCCTGGACTCAAAGCTGTTAAAATAATAGGAATGGTTTCCCAACAGTTTTCCGCTTAGGAAGCTGCTTTTACCATTCATTTTACAGAGCTGAAGGGAATAAAAAATAAATAGAAACTTTTCAAAAATCTAACTAAATTAATCTCAAAGTCCTTTTCCAAAGAGGAAGAAGTCTTGTCTTCAAACACTTGCAAATGCCTTCCACAAGCTTTAGTGCTAAGGTTGTATCACATTCATTCTTCATCAGAAAATAAATGGCCAATATACATTATTTAGCTGTTAATAAGATACCAGTCACTTTGTGGGTAGGAATTACAGCAACCGTTCCTTCACTGCATTCAAAATGGACAACATATTTCCTCTATGTTCATACAAGCAATTACATCAATGTAAGGCTAAACTGAAATTTGGCACTGTCTTATGGAATACTGTTTAATACCATTTTAAAGGTTTCCTAGGAGGACTTAATTCCCAGGCACTGGAAATATATGTAAACACAGCTACCAGCACGCAAACCTGAATGATACCTGATCCTGTGTAAGTTCAGTCAGACTGGCTAACACTTGAAATCAGTCTCCAAAATCCTGTCAGAATTTTCAACACTTTTTTATTTATTTTCTTCCAGTATTGTCAAGGCTTTGGAGAATGACCTAAAAGCATATATTCCTGTTCAGGAAGGACCTTAGACTGAGCATGCCAAAAAAAACTTTGGATTTTCTGAGAATTCACTAAAGAAATAAAAATTGAATACTCATTCAGAAACTGTCTGCACAAATGCTTCCTGGTGAAACAACAGGATGTTTCCTCACCCTTCTTTTCTGTTCCCCTCAAATTTCATGTTGTTTAAGACAACATGTCAAGAATTCAAGGCTTTATATCTTAAGATACCTGTTCAATCAACTACGTGGTTTTAGTGTAAGAAATAGATAGGGAAGTCTCTGCACAATATATACAGACTATAAGCATTATTTATTTAACATTATATAGCAAAATAAGAAATATTTAAACACATTTTTATGTAGACAGTGATACATTTGCTGTTGCAAATCCCTAGTGATTCATTGTGTTTAATATCAAAGAGAGCACTAAATGTGTTTAATCCCCCCTTCCTCTGTGACCAAGTATTTACAGTGATAATAGAGAATGAATCACGTAAAGATTGACCATAAGAGGGAATTAGAGTTGACAGAAGTCAAACACATAAGATTAGAAGTAAGTTTATCCAGAGCCATTATACCTTGCCTGCATAACTGAAACAAAAAAGGGATCTGAACAGCAATTAACTCACATTTTTTTTATGGTTCACATCTATAAATCAGCACACGATTTACAAGCCATCAAAATGGTAATCTTTGTTGGGCTTTACTATGCAAGACCAGAAATGTAAATTCACACTGTCTAAAGCCCAATGCCTATCCCAGGTTATTAACCAACCAGTGCTCAGTTAAAGCTATTCTTTCAAGAAGAGATTCATATCTGAATCTCAAATACCAAAGAGTTGTAGAATCTACCACTTTCCTTTGTAATATGTTTGGTGATTCTTGTCAGAATCATAATCTGACACTAAATTATATTAAAACATGGATATGTTCTGCTTATCAAAGGATCTACATGACTTTGCACAGAGACTCTGTCCTGGCCATCATTTAATTTTCCATCAACATTTGTGACATACACAACTCTATCAGCAGTGATTTTCCATTCTCTTCCAGAATAGAAAAAAGAAAGTGATAGAGCCAAAGACCACAGCTGCTCTGCTTCTCACGACAGAATGATGGGAGCTGTGTAAAATACTCCTATTTTAAAGCCCAGAAAAGGCAGCATTTTTTGTTTAATAATATGGCAAGATTGAATTTTAAGTCTTTGAATTTGCAATTGGACTGTAGCTTTGAAAGTGTCTCTCACCATCACTCCAAGAGAAAGTATGAATTTTGTCTTTTTCTCTGGCAAATGCTTACAGAGTATGATTATCCAGTTTGCTATCCTGTTTTCCAATAGCTTGTCTTTGCTGCAACACATTTTCTGATCATGTCTGTTATTCCTGTCACAGGATTTCCCCTTCTCCTTTCCAAGTGAAATTTCACCAAGGGTTTTCCCTATGAAGGAAAGTTGAATATTTCATCAGCCAACCAAGATGCAAATCTCCAGCAGGTATTTTCATACAAAGAGTCTTTATCTTCTCTCCTTCAGAAAGGGGCAGCTAACATCACTGTATCTGTGCCACAAACAAACTCATAGAGCAGAGAGCACTATAACTTGCATTGCACATTCCTGATCCATGTTTGAAGTGCTGTGGGGCTAATCTCCACGTTCAGCAAGGTCAGCCTGGTGCTTTCTGGTCTATGATAAAAAATATACATGTTTTCACATGATTTTGATCTTGCTTTTATATACAGCAAGTGTGCGCTTGATTGTTCAGTTGTCAGTTTTCTAAACATACCAAGACTGTGGACATTCAACCTGCTGTGGAATTTACTTCAGAGCAAAATGTCCTTTGAAAATCAAAACAGTCAACACATCTTTTATACTGCAACTTGCAGTAATAATCTGTGAAGAGGTTTTCTAGGTCATCCCACAGAATGTTTCTCCTATTTCTCTTTCATCCATACCTTTATTGTAACAGTCCAGTATGACTTCAGGTGATACATATGTATTAACAGCAGGTTTTGTTTGGAAGGAAATATTATGGAGGACAGTAAGAACACTTAACCCAGCCAATCTTTAGGCCTTTCTATGCTTTGCCAATTTCAGGTCTGCAAACCCATTTAGGCAGTAACCTCCAGAGTTTGGTAACATCTGATACTTTATGATATACTATGTTACACATCATGGACAAGGGCTTAATGCAACTGCAGAGTCTTACCAACCACTTTGAAATTATGGCTAAGGCAGCATAAATGCAGCATTTGGCTGCCCCTGAATGGGAAGGTCTCACACCCCATTTCCCAGTGCCTATAAGTTCTTATCCCCTTCTCAGATGGGATTTAATGGTCACATTGCACCAGAGCAAGCCACTCCACTCACTTGTCCAACAAAACCCAATCTGTAGGGTTTTTGCAGGGTTAGTTTTATGGTGGATCAGTTTACTAAACAATTCATCATATCATTGTTAGGCCTATTTCTAATAATTGAAGTGGTATGTGTATGTGGCATGTACTTTTCATGACAGTTTATCATTAAAGCAAGTAAATTAACATTTAACTGCAACAGTAGCAGCAGTAGTTAAAATAATACAAGCAAGGCAAAGTTTAGTATTCAGTGATATGGAGTAAAAAAAGATAGGAGAGCGTCAGCTCAGTCAGGGAATTATTATATTAAAATCAGCCCATTATTATATTAAAATCTTTGTGAACATGGTACATTCATAAAGGCCGCAAGGCACCACAGCAATATACCAGCATTATTATTTCACAAGATTTTTCTTTTTTGTTTTCTTATTTTTATTTCCCAGAAAGTCCATTTCCAACAAGAAAATAATAATTCTTGGCTTAGTTCTAGGATCAAATAAGTGATCAACAAACGTGTAAACTCTATGCTGCTAGTCTGTTCTGGTTTTGTCATTTATCATATTTTACCATGGAGACCTCAGATAAGGTGTCCTGGACCCACCGAATTTAACGGAGTTTCAGATACTGGCCTGAACTATGATATCTTAGAAAACATTTTCTGCATTTTCTAAAACTTTAAATTTAATTTTAAAATGCATATTCTTTCTGCAGTCTGACAATTAATAGATTGATTTTTCACTTAATCACAAATTCCCTCCTACCTGACTGCCAATAATAAAGAAGACATCCTCAAAACTGAGTGTAATTAATTACCAGTCTCGGAATTTGAAGAGGCCAATGTCATTAATTGAAGATACTCAGAAGAGAATGACCAACCTTGATGAGATTATAAAAATTACCATAAAATGGCAATTTTTAACTTGCAAGTGCACTAAATACATTAACTACCTTTATGCAGGTAACACGAATTTGCATTGTTGGCTGTGACTAACAACGTGCAAAGCATATTCCTCTGAATGTGTTTCTTTCTCCACGTGCTACTGTGGCTTAACTTTTTTCAGTAAGGCAATTATTTCTCTTAGCTAACTTTTCAGAACAAGAATACTTCTGTTTAAATGTTAACTGAATAGCAAATTAAGTGCCGTGAATTATAGGTTAATCTAGTAATAGTAATATATATATGTATCTTTTAGTATCTTTTTAATCCCCGATATTATATAATTAAACCTCTAAAACAGTTAGTAAGTTTTATCTCCATTTAAAAAGCACAGAAACTAAGTCAGAAAGGTGAAACCCAGATGCAGCAAGAATTAACCTCAAGACATATTCGAGCTCAACAACTTATGCTTCTCCTGGGAGACAAGCATACGCTTCTAATTCTGAAAAGAAAATGCCTATAATGACCTTGCCTTTATTCCTTTGACTAGTCACACTTTATTAATCCCAGATAAAGATAAGCAGAAGCACAAATACTGCAGGGTCTTCCAAACTGCAATAAAACACACTTCACCTTATTCAGCTAAATATTTGCAAAGGAGGGCAAGAAATGTGCAAGAAATCTGCACAACATTGCAAAAAGCAATATGGAGCGTTTATATAAGCTTTTCAACTCAAAATCCGACAGCTGGGGCCTCACTTGTTCACTGAGGCACCTAATGTCAGTTCAGATGCCCAGCATCGGATTCCATCCATGGCACAGGACTTACAGGGCTTCTTTGTCCCTCCAGCAAAGCAGCTGGAGTCCAGGCAGAAATCTACAAAGCAGCTACACACCTAAGTCATCTCCCAGGAGTTTTCTTCTGGGCAAGCTGGGGCAGGCTGCAGCAGCCCCAGGAGTTAGGCTGTTCAGAATTACAGAATCACAGAACGTTAGGGAT